TTTGTCCCAAGGCTTAATGGATAACTATTAGATCATGAAATCATGCTTTCGATAAGATTAATTGTGATTACCCTTTGGCCATAATCTTGCAGCTCCACTCCAATGTGTTGGATCTAGATTTTATTAACTAGCCTTTTTCTATCATGCCTGTGGAAGTTACACCACAGGCCACATTGCTGTGGCTCTAACAGGCTTGTCCTTCTTCCCTTAGGCTCTTCAGTTGGCTGAGTGACACAGGAACTCAGGCGTGCCTGAAGATGGGGCCGCTGATAAGGCACTGTTAGCTACAGCCACTGGGTCTGGCTGTTTTTGCTGCCCTGGGCCTCTCAATGCCAAATGGGGTGTAACCAATGACCCACTTGGCCATCTCAAAATTTGTTTTCTTCAGATTTCCTTTTTTCCATCAAAGCAGCCACGGAGGAGTTGTTGTTAGTCCTACACGATAGCCACCCCCCCAAAGAAAACATAAGCTACACTCCAAATCACATTACTACCACATAAAATTGCTCAATCTTAACTATGATTACTGAAAAACCCAGTGTTTTGAATCAAGACACTGACTTAGTAACTCATGAGGTCATCTGCTGGGTTTGTTTAGTTCAGGGGAGCCAAAATCTCTGGCAAACACACACACACACACAGAACTCACAGACAGGCAGCCTCATATCACTGCCATGGTACCACTGCCTGCTCCACATTCACAAGCTGAGAACCAGATTTAATCTACAGAACAACAAGCTCGCTGCCAAATACCACAGTGGAATCTGCAAAAAGCTAGAAAAAAACCTGTCTGCAATTGTGTGCACAGCATTCAACTCTAAGACAAAAATCTATACACAGAGCCACAACTGAGAGAAACAGAAAGTTTCCAAAGTTTAAAAAAAAATACATTCCAGTGAGCAATAATGGAATAAGACAAGGCAAACCGAAACACAAGAAGTGTTTCTTCTCAACAATGAAAAACTCACAACAGGCATCCTTCTCTCAGATTAACATCCTTGCCTGAGCCAGGGCCATCTGTGTTATGCCAGCAGCCTGGCATAGAAACAGAGATGTGGGGGAGATGGGCACGGAAGGAAAGGGGCAGCGGGTGAGAGAAAGGAGGGAGGACGAGAGACAAAAAATAAACACGAGGCCAGATTAAAATTTCTCGGCAAGAAAGCCATGTGACTATGGGAAGGAGTGAAAACAGTGGAAAATCACAGTCAGAGCTCATGTCTCTCCATCCTCCACATAAACCTCATCTGTCCTACCCTGTTTTAAGCGACTGTTTGCTGAGGAAGACAAAACTGGCATCACCGACACGCAACACTGACGAGTAAACATGCATAACACTGGATTAAAATCTGAACTACTTGGAACGAACTCTTAAGGCGTGTTGATACCTGTACATGAGTATGTTGTTGAATGTGACCAAGAAGATGTGGTGTGATTATGGGCAGAGTGGGTTCTTGGCTCAGATTCCCAGTCTATACAGTGACTCTTAAAATACTACGAGGTTATTCTACTCTGATAGCAGCTTGACAGACAACATAAAGCATGCTTATAAATATCCCACTGGAGCAACTAATTCTAATTCTCTGTAAGAATAAAGCATCTTGTCCTCTGGACTACAGTCAGCTGGCCAAGCTTATTACAGTCGCTCAGGTTTAAGAAGCATTTAGTTAACACAATCACAAAATAAGTAATTTGACAATAATACCCTATTTGGAGGAACACAGTAAGGTCTGCGAGGTGTGGCAATTATTAATGTGACTAATGCCGTAATTCAATTTTATTTATTTCAGTATGATTTAATTCCAGTAGACTCTTTCAGGGGTTGTTCATGCCTTCCCATTGGTCACTTTGTACCACATGGTTTGACTTCTGTAAGACCAGTCTTCTTACTTTTAACAACCAACATCACCTTCCTTGTCCTCCTCTCGATCAAAGTTGGACACTGCTTTGTTTGGTGACCTGGCCTTACTGTAAATTCACCAACATTTAAAGGGCATAACTGACATTAAATAAAAGGCAAGGGAGCAATACAGAGGGAATAGGAAAAAAACATGTTGACCATGTGGATGACTGAAACAGGGCGGGTACATATAGTAACACTTGATAATTACTTGATAAGACTCAGTGGAATGTTCTGGTTTATCAGCGACATGTATGGAACTACACTGGAGACTGAAGTCTCTTGAGGAGCATGGGGACAGGTGTCTGACGAATGGATCTGAACTGGATCAAGCTGCGTCATACAGTAACTTGTGGCTTTGAGTACAATGGTAACTCAAAACAAAGTAGACTAGAATATCTAGAATGACAAGAGCATAAATTATTTTTTTTGTCCCCCCCTCCAAGCAAAAACACCAAACTTTCCAAGCTTTAGGCTCCCAAATGTGAATATTTGCTAGTTTTCTTGGACTTTTACAATGTCAAAGTTAATACTTCGGGTTTTTGTCTGTTGACAAAACAAAACATCTCAGGTGCTGCCTTATTTTCATTATCAGTTAATCCATTTATGATTTTCTTCATTCATTGTTTAGTGTCTATCAAAACAACAGAAGAGTGAGAAATGCCCACGAAAATTTTTTGCCATACATCTTGTTTGATCTGGTCAACAGCGCAAAATCCAGAAAATCAACTGGATTATGTGGCTTTTACCTCCCCTTGCGCCATCTACATGTTACCTTATTTTTAAAAACCCCTTCTCTTTGGGAAACCGCAACTGGCTCCAGAATAGCAACCAATCACGCTGCAACTTCCAAGTTTTGCCAAGGGTTCAGATAGTGCAGTAAGGGTCTCCCTGCTAGTTCTTTTTGCTAAATTGGCAAATGTTAATGAAAATGTTCACTTCCCTGCATGCAAATGTTCCAGCGACGCTCCTGTCACTATTTTAGGGAATGCTGTTGAAGCAACCTTGCCTTAGCACTGTCCATGATTAGTTTAACGCAATACAATCAAGCCACAGCTTTCTTTTCATCCCCAATAGCAGAATGATAATGAGGTGCAACCAGATCGCCCTACAGAGCGCTGTGTCAGTGCCTGAGAAAGGCCTGGCTATGTGAGAAGCATTTTACTATAATGTAAGCTATTCTCACATTTGAATCATCCATTTTGGGGAAATGTATGTTTGAAAATGACTTGAAATATGAACAGCTTACCAAAAATAGCTACAAATACATCTTCTGTCAATTAACAAATTATTGCAGCTGCAATCTGTAAATATCTCCGTACACTCCAGGAAAATGTGATGGTAATTTTTCCTCTTTGATACAATAATTTAAAGTCAAAATGATTCATCAAGGAAATAATTATTTAATTAACCACCAAACTTCATCTGTTGGCTCTAACTGTGAACAACTGCAATGACTTGTCAAACTTGTTGGGTAGTTTAAATTAATACAAAGGGAAGGATTAAGCAACATTAGATTACCTGCAGTTCAATGAATGGTTCTGATCCAGCTGATGAAGCAGAGCACGACTGAAACTACACAGAGCTCTGAGCAGTATTTTTCTTTATCCAGCAGTTTCTAATGGAAGGCTATCAGCTCAAAGCTACAATACTCTATATTAGAGAGACAACTAGGTGACAATTTGTGTCATGATTAACATTTATTACTGACTGTCCACTGGAAGGGGTTTAATGTGTCATTAGGGAAAAATAAAACGGAGTAAATTGCTTCCTGTTCCACATTCTGTCATCGACTGACCCCCCACTGAAGCTCTCTGCTGTCAGGCTGATAGAGATGTAGGATTGCTCACTGCTATCAGTCTGCATGACATCATCATGTAAAGACACTGTACCTCAGAGCTATCGTTACTCATTCCTCACCAATGGCATGTTATCTTAGAAGTCATTTAAAGTGATGAGATGGTCACTATCTTGTGAAGCTTCAGTCATACCAAACAGGTTTAGTTCTTTTCAGTGCATCCAGCGCCGCATTCTTTCGTCTCATGGGTTACTGACGCAGCATGTTTTCAGTACCCTAGGCAAAGTATTCATTGAGGCCACTGACCACCACACGGTTCCCAGCAGGCTACAGCGCACTTCAGCTGCTTCCTGTCAGCCTACCTCCTGTTGCACAGAGGGAGGGATGCAGGGAGTAGCACCACTCATAACATGAAGACAACACTGCTAGGTGAGACAACACAGGCGTCTCCTGCACTGTCCACTCCAGTAACTGCTCAGTGTCACTACATTTTCAGCTGGCAAAATTGCAAGAAAAAACATGGTTGTTTGAACAGAAACTGTTGGAAATTAATCCATAACAATTTAATCTAAATGGCGGAAAAATAACTAAATACAGTACAGGTTTTCTTTCTTTAAGGTGGCCAGTCATGCTTACTACAGTCCCCCTTAAGCCTCCTGGGAGAGAGAGGGAGAGGGCAAGAGAGATAATCCCGGCTGCAGTCTCCAAAGGACGGAAATAATTAGTTAATACCTTTGTACAGTCTAAGCTTGTGATTTTCTTGTGTCTGTGTGATGCAACAAAATAGACTCTCCTTGTGCATTTGCAAAACTGACGATCACTGTACCTCAGAGGTATGCGTCTCCACATAAGGACCTAACTCTTGCCAATCATTTTTCCTGTGTAAACCATTTGAAATTTAGTCGAACCCATTTGCAGCTTCGCGGGCTCCTGCATGAGAGTCAAGCTGACTGACAGTTCCCTGAAGACGTCTCCATTATACTATCATGAAGTGTGAGAACAGAGAGGAAAACAGATACAGGGCTTCCTGTGGGAGTCAGGCTTTCCTCCGCTAATATCAATCGCTGATTGATGTGTGCGTATTTACTGGAGAAGGTAAGAAGTGAAGATAGTTGCAGATTTTTAAAAAAAATAGCGTTTAGGGTTTAACAGCATCTTTAAAGCCCATCTGTAAGAATAAAATATTCTAAATAAGGCTTCTTTAAAATACAGAAGCCTGATGAATATGCTTTTTTTGACTTGTAGTCCACACAAATACAGAGAACTTAAAAATTGGACAGTTTTTGGGGTTTTTTTGTACTTTACCTGCAACTCACACCAGGCCACCTCAACCCAGGTCTCAGTATCGAGGCCTTTGTAGACTGTCTTGAAGGACCCTCTCCCCAGCTCGATGTCAAATTTGAGGAACCGTCCTCCTGGAGATGTGGAGACCGCCTTCATCTCTGCTTCCTCCTCGTTCTCTTCGCTGGCTGCCTTGATGGCAGCTTTACCACCATCACTGCATGTAACATTTAACACATCTCCACCTTTCTCCTTCTCCTCATCGGCACTGGCGCTCTCTGTCGCGCTGTCTTTGTGCCCAGCTTGACTTTCAGTACTGGAACCCTCCTGTATCCCACAACTAGTCCCCCGCGTCCTGTCCACTATTGTTCGCAGGTTTATGTTTAGGATCTTACTCCTGTTATCACATTCGGGCGCTTCAAAGGCCTGCTCCTCTGCGTCTGAAAACCACAGACTTCTCCTGATGAATCTCTGATGCACGCTCCTCTGATAACTGGAGGTAGGGTATGCGCTGGGGTCACTCCCACCTCTCACAACCGAGTCCACGAGATTGACATTTCCATCACCCAAAGCCTCATACATATTCACGGCCAGTTCACACTGAGAGTTGGGCACAGATGGATATTTTGGCTCTTGGTGGGCCTCTGAGGTTGAATTAGACCCCGGCTCCATGGTGATTTAAAAGTTCAGTCACTTTGGTTTCCAGGTCATTCGTGCCATGGCTAGACTTCCCAACATGCAGATTTACAGATGAATACCTGCAGCGCCCACTCGGTGACGCAGTTTGCCAGCAGAGGCCCGTTTCAGCACTTGGATGGAGACATGGACGAGATTTCATCCGATATATAAGAGCTGCAAAAGAAATGATATGCCAGTTAGTGAAACACAATTCAACAATTTATAATAAACACGGCAACGCCGGGGCTAGCTCATGCTATCATGCGTGCTAATAATGACTGATGTGAAGTTAGTTGGTGTCAATTAAAGCAAGTGGATTAAAAAAAAAAAAGACAAGCCCATGAGTTAAAACACATCGCTTCCAGAAACCATCCAGGTGGACTAAAAACCACCAAGCTAGCTGTGACGACGAAGTTAAGTTTGACAATTCACAACTAGCAAAACGCTTGCTAGCGCTAAACCTGCCGTCAGCATTCACATGATAATGAGTGGTCTTCAAACACTCCCGTTACTGTTAAATTAAACAACAATGAACCAACACTTACCTTTGCTCTGAAAAAGCGAATAAAACACGACCAAATAAGCCAGGCTTAAACTCACGCTAGAGTGAAAGCTTGCCAGGTCCAGTGCGAGAGAAAACCTCGCTAACGTGCGCCAACTGTCCACGACAAAAGGTGGACTTTAAAAACGCCCTATCTGCATATTATCCCCATTTTCACGCACAACAGCCTCCGCGACGACCGCAAACAACACCAGGGTGGAGCTCAGGCTTCGCTAGCTCAACGCAGACCCCATATTAAGGACAAAATAAAGACTATTATGTTGTATTTATCTCCTTTTGAAGTCCTCGCATCCCTTCTGCTCGGTCGCAGCTCTCCCGATGCGAGTCTCTCGGCGGCCGCTGTATGCGGAGCGTGCAGATGAACGGGTCCCGCTTTCAAGACACGGGGATTTTCAGTTCCCCCGTAGTCCCCTCGGCAATTAACTTACATGGACAGCTGTTTTCGCTTTTCATCGTCTCTCCCCCATTAGGTCAGTTCAGCCGGCGAGGCACACAAATGTGTTTCCCATTCAGTTCAGCTTGGCTCCACGCCCCTGGTAACGACCGGAGGGACCGTCCAATCACACGGCGCCGTGGGGCTCCACGGAGAGCCTGCTCATCCTGCTGCTACACCGTCCAGCACACAGTGACACACGCCTCACACACACACACACACACACACACACACAAAAAGACAAAGACCGATCAGAGTCAGTGTAAGTTAAATGGCAACTGAACGTTTTTTTTTTTCTATCCCCACGCAAAAGCCTGTTTTATCATCTGTGAAAATTTTCTCTCACGCCCTTTACGGACTCATCGCAGTCACGTGGGCTCCTACCTCAGCCTGCTGTGGAGGAGAATCCCCCTCAAGAAAAAAAAAAGGCAATTATTACTAATGTGGTGACATTATGATAGAATAAGAAGGTGCATTTTGAAGAAAATGCATATGACGACTGCAGAAAGCTAAATGATTGTGGATGGGGTCAAAGATGCAAAAAAAAAAAAAAGGGTCCAAATTTAACTGAAATTGGATGCATCTGTCATTAGCTGTGGAACTTGGAATTGATTTGACACCATCCCCGAAAGTCAAAAAATGAACACTGAATTTGACTTGAATTTCTTGACATTTCAAAAGCTGCTTAGCATAGTCAAATACTACTGATTTGTATGTAGGAAATTGTCATTCATTTCCACCCCCTGTCTGTGGCCTTGGTCTGTACACTTGAGCCAAATTAGACAGAAATCAGATAAAACATGCAGGAGTTATGGAAATTATACAGCCACGCCCTCACAAGTATGTTAGCCAAGCATAAAGAAATAATAAATGATCTCTCAAATCAAATCATTTATTTATTTATTTATTTTTTTTTTTAAATAAATGGCAAGGCTTAATGAAACTTCAGTCTTTTCTGGGGCCTCAGGCTGCACATTGATCCTAATTTGGTGTCAGAAGTTATAGTGGTTTGAATTGATCTAATCTAAACACACCCACAGAAGTTTGTTAGTCAATCAGGGCACAAGGATAGATGTCAAATTAAGGATATGGACAATATCAGAGCTGATCCAAACACAGTGGGTACTACGTTTGGTCAATGTTGAATGGAAAAAGTAGAATAGGCAGTAAAAAATTCGAACTGCTGAAGCTTATAGGGAATCCAAATGTTTTGGATTGTTGGGTGTTTCTGTCTCTGCCTTTGTTAAGCGCTATGAGATGACTTGTTGTTGTAAATATGCGCTATACAAATAAAATTGAATTGAATTGAATTGAAAAATTATTGATGTGTTCCAGTGTTTATACCACCATACTATGTCAAAAAGCCTATGTCAAGTAGAGTAGACTCTGCCAAAAATACCAGGATGTTGTACGACATCTGTATACTGGAAAATCTTATCTCTTCCTTGTTACATCACAAACATGTGAACGGTGTATTGCACAAGTGTAAATAAGCTTGAGTCACCAAGCAGTGACAGCTCAGTTCAAAATACAGACCGTGACAGTCAAAGTTAAAGTTGCAGTATTATGATAAAGTAGTATGTCCTAATTGTATAATTCTGCAAGAAACACCACATACTTTGTGAGGGCAACTTCAAATAAAATGATAATGTAAAAAATCCAGACATTCAAGACAGAAAAATATTTATGACAAAAATGGGCGTGGTCACCAGGAGCATTTGCTGAGATATTAGGCAAAACATTTTCCGCTAATCGATAGGTTGTCTCTCACCACATGGCGCTTCCAGTTTTGAGCATGTACAGCACTGACCTATGGGGAAGCAGTCCTCCAAGTTTTAGAGATACTCATTGTTTTTCTGCATGTGTTGAAAAATCATCCAAAAAAAATCATGTAAAAATCTACCTTTGCAGATATGCAGATGCATGCACCAAAAAGCATAGCACACAATTTCCAAAACAGGTTTGACATTTTAGCTTTTGAACCATGTTTCTATCTACAAGCCGGCAAACTGAAAGAAAAAATAATGTAGATGCAAAATATCATAATAAATGTGCAGCAGAACAATAGCGTGATTGCAATAACTACATGTGCATCTGTTCCTCTGTCTTTAGGCTACATGCCTGCAGGTCCCATCCTTTCATCCCAGACAACAGCACTCTTGCAGCTCAGTTTCTCAGAGCTGCAGCCTGCAGCTGAGGCGCAGCAGCCTACGCATGGGGAAAATGATGAACAGCAGCAGCAACAGGGGAAGTAGGAGCGAGGTAAGATATTTGAAACCATTTTTTCATTACGGAAATAGGTACATTTCCACATTGTGCCAAACTAGGCTGCATATGTTACCAATTTTTGAAGCAGTACAAATAGCGTGGTCTTGAGCACAGCTAAAGAGTATATTATGCATGCTCTGCCTAACAAGAGTTTCCTATTCTTACTTTCTTGCAAACAGTTATACAAAAGAGTTGAGAACGAGTAAACGACTAAATTCAGTGCAGCACACATGCAATCGATGTTGTTTAGCTTACAATGTTACTTTGTTTTTACATGATTTCTGTAAGAGTTTTTAGGAGTTGTTACATTTTAAATGCAAGCTGGTTAAATATCCACCCTCCATTTCCATGCAACTTTTATACCTTTCCTCATGTTTCACGTGATCTACATGAAAAGGGAAAACAACATGAACTTGCAGAATAAAAGGGATACGAAATGGGACAGATTGCATGTCCACACAGGAGCAAGTCAATACACGAAAACAATTTAACAGGGATCTTCATGTCTGCTGCAGGCATGCTGGGTCAGATGACAGTCTGGTCCAGCTGAGGAGTGAAGCATTGTTGGCACCTGAGTGACCTTATAAATAATGAATGCCCTCCTTTGTTTCCACTTCACTGGCTTAAATGCACACATTAAACAGATACACACACCAAGTTTTACTTTCGCATAATGTCATCCTGCTTCATACCACAACTAGACTGTTGCGAGACAACTGTAAAGCCTACAGAGTGTTTATTATGGTTTATGAGGCAATTCAAATTGCCATTTGACAAGTAATTACAATATACAGTAGTTCAGAGCTATATGTAGTGCGCAGCATCCCCTTTTTACAGGGCAAGGGAATGGACTTCACTCTGTCATCTCTACAGTCACTGTCCTAATAGCACCATTTAATTTCAGATAGATGTGTGTGTGTGCGATTGAGGAACAAGGGAGGAGGAAGGGAGGCCCTGGCAGCCGGGGATACTTCCTTGTGACTGTCAGAGCTCAGCCAGCAGATGCAAAATGTAATACCCTCACGCTCGATAAAATGAGCAATTGATCTCATTTACAATGTGTCTCCCTCCAGTGCCGATCAATAAGAATGGAATCAACCCATCGTTGTTTTGTGGAGTGACGATTTCGTGTGGGCTGTCCTCAAGCTTTTGATATCTGTGTCTGTGTTAATGAAATCTAAGACCAAACACATTCTGAGTACAGCACAACCACATTCTTGTCCTTTTTTATCTTTTTATTTTGATAATCAGTTGCTTTTTAAATGCGGCCGTCTCTGCAATGAGAAAGTCTTCCCTTCTCTAAGTGCCATAGACCACACTCACAAACAGCCATGTTTGCTTTGCACTGTGTAAGGCTGTAAAACTAAAAGCTCTACAGAGAATCATGGAAATTAGATTTACAGTTGGGTCGATCCTCATCTGGAGAAGGGCCAGAGTTTGAGGTGAGTGAGAGAGAAAGGCTGCTGATAGGACATGATGGATGGAAAGCGAAGAAGTGCTTATGTATGAGAAAAAAAAGAAAAAAAAAGGAAGGGAAACACAGACCCATGCAGTTACAGAGTTGATTTGTTTTTTCATCATATTGCTGAGCTGCAGCAAGTTCAATTAAGTGCATCACGAATGCAGGCTCTCACCATGTCTTAAGTGCCTTGCATTGCTGCTGCAAAGAGCTTTGTACATGTCAGATACAGAGCTTAACGGCACAGTGCGATAGTTATGGTATACTCTGACACTGACATGCAGGTATTTAGCTTACCGTAATCAGTTAGTGTGACGACGTGGGAAAAGAGGAAAAGTTTAGGATTAGGTGTGCAAGTTGAATGAGTTCATTTCTTTTTTTTTTTTTTGGAAGTCAGCCAAAACTTGAGTTTGCCTTTGTAGAAAATGTGTTTTGTACAGGTGAAAGGTTTGGGTTCATTCTCAGGTTTTTTTGAAACTGCAGCCTTCCCAGAGTTGTTGTCAGCAGAGCAGGCAGCATATAACCATGGCATAAAGGCAGCTAGTAATGACCCCAACTTTATTCTCTGAAGGCTGCGAGGGTAGTAGATGTAAGGAAACAGTCTTTAATTTGTTATTTTTGCCCTCTCTATTCCACATTTCAGAGAAAAATCTTAAAGGTCCTATATAAATAAATTACTGAATATCCTATTTCCTCTCCCTTGCCCACACACTGTAATATTAGTCACCTGATCCGATTCTGCAGAAAGTTGGATATGTTAAATATTATTACATGAATCCATCTGTTATTCCACTGTGACGCATAACAGAGAGTTAATACAGATTCACACAACTTTTTTTTTTTTTAAATCTCTCACTGTCTTCCCTCCCTCCTCACTTTCTCTCCCTTCAGCGTGTCCCCTGAGTCTAATTCAGACAAGAAATGCTGTGTGAATAATTCATAACCAAAATAAGCACCGAAACCCAGAACCAATACGGAGCAATTGACTTAATGAGAACCTTTCTTTCGTTTTAGATAACAATAGATCTAGAATGGCTGGGTGACTGACAAGCGTTCTGTTTCTCTGGGAAACAAAAGTCTGTACAAATATGCAAATGTAGAGTTTGTCTTCGTTTTTTTTTTCAATTTGAAGTGTTCTTCAAATGAAAACCTGGATCAGAAGCATCCTGTAATATAGGTCTTTGTTTGTGTAGCATGTTTTTTTTTTTTTCTCCACACTTACAGTATGACATATCATGGCCTACATTCACAATCTTTTTGTTCTACATGTCTCCTCTGCTGTGATTAATTGTTACTCCATGTTCTCAGCTGTATGATATGAGTAGACAGCAGAAATAATCTTGAAAAAGAGACTTGGACTGACTTGATATTAGCATTGGCCTACAATATACACAATACTAAAGTATACGTAGAACTGGGACTTTTTTTATATATATATTTGCTGGCGATTTAATGTTCTAGACTCAGTGACTCCATGTGTACCACCTGTGATCTCACAACAAGCATTATCTCACTGTGTTCTGTTGACTCGGGGATAAAGGGCTGCCTTTGAAGGGCTTCTGTCAGTGTTTGAGAGCAGAATGGTTGAACCGGACACGTCATGACAGTGTGCCATTTGTAACATTTGGCAACAAATCATGGTCACAAGGACACCACACCACACCACACCACGTTGCTTTCCAGTGGAATGCAGAGAAACATGTTTTGAGGAACACTTTAATTCCTTGTTATGAGTCGTACCATGGGGCATTTTGGCTTGCAGTGAAAAGGATCTTGGGGAAAGGCCGTGGAGACGTTTTTTAAAAATGATTTTTTAAGGTTTGCTGGATGTTGTCGTGGTGTCTTTGCAGTGTTCGCAGTGAAGCTGCGCCAAATTCTAAAATCTAAACTGACAGGGACGCTGCCAGATGTAGAGCTTGGCCAGCGACACGTGTAATACAGTTCCTATAAAGCAGTGGCTTATCAAGAGAATTAAACATAGCTTGCCCAGTAGTTATCACATCACTGACAAAAAAAAAAAAAAACTCATCAAAATAATTACTTTAACCAGGGTACAAGCTCCTCTCCAAAACAACCAACCATGCCTTTTGTACAGTTCGTACTTCCCCTCGTACATCATTTAACTTATGATTGCTGATTGTCGCGAATCTCCTAAAGACATTGTAATTCAACTGCAGCCTAACCAGTAGCAAATTAGAGGGTGCAGCTCCTCGTTTTTTCTCTTGTTTTTTTTTTTGTCTTTATCCCTTGAGCAAGAAGGAAGAGTTTGTACCAGCTCTGTGGTTTGGTTAATCTCTGACATACTAGGCTCTCTGCAGCTGCAGGAGTGTGTTGTGAGAAAAAAGGAACGGTTTTGGTGCTCAGGAAGAGACTGCTGATTGTTTCATGTTTGCAGAGAGTGTTACTGATCAGGCTTCGGCCTTGACGCCACTTCAAAACTTCAGCGCTGGTGCTCAGGTGCTATCCAGGCTTGGTGGATGGTCATTCGGCAGCAGTGATGCGTTTTCATCATTTTAAATGAGAGCAATTTCTTATTTATCAAAACTGTTTATCCAGTAACTGCACGCCCAGCACATCATTTATTTGTTTTTTTTCTATACAGTACAGAGTCCACTGGGATGAAGGGGATACACACATAAAAACAAGGAAATCTTTTTGCATAGTCATCCCACACATAAGAATCAATAGGTTACAGAATTCAGAGTAAAGCCAAGTTTGCTTATTTAAATGCTTTTGGTTATCACCTGCTGATCTCATTAGATGGAATATTGCAAAAATTACTCTTTCCTAAGTCCCTCCTACATGCAGTATGTAATATATTTTTTTAAACTCTGCATGCAGCCACAGCTTGTTATCTGCTCAATATATGCAAAATATTATATAAAATGTTGATACTCAGTAAAGTAAACTGCTGTCATAAAACGAGCTCTTCTGGGTTTTTAATAGTCCAGTTCTGCAACTAACTCTGTAATCATAGTTCAAGAGGCTGAAATATAAGCAGGATATGACTGAAGGGTCACTGTATCACTCTACACTGTGTTTATTGACACAAGGCAGTCAATCATCACTGCTCTGATTCGAAAAGTCAACAAATACTGGAATAGAGCGCCGAGAGTGCAGCGCAAGCTCACAGAACCAGCACAACATCCTCGGCGCTCGCTGACATCTGACACGAGCACAGAACAAGAAAATGTGCAGACTGAATGTGATCATTTGAAACCATCAGCACAAACTGCATATGCTGACTTGTTCACGTTCACCGTGTTTTAATGGGTCTGTTACCAGTTTGTCAGTATCTCTTTTGCTGCCCTAATGGCTCTGTTTTCAAAGGTCACTCTTCTGTAATGGCTGCTTGTTGTGCTAATTAGGTCAGAATGATAACCAGATCCTTACCATCAGTGCGCAGGAAGCACAAAATCACTGCTACTCTCATCAACATGCTGCCTCGTTGCTCCGTTGGGGAAACAAAACGCAGCACAGAGCACGCTTTTTTGTTTATTTCCCGGCATTCTTCTTTGAGGCATTATCTCCTGGTTATAAACATTATCTCTGTGCCAATTGCTCTCCTCTCTCCCCAGGCTACCCATCCAGATGCTTGGCCCCGCAGCCCAGCTCCTCTGAACATGAACCACTATGCCAATAAGAAGAGCGCAGCTGAGAGCATGCTGGACGTGGCTCTGCTGATGGCCAATGCCTCCCAGCTGAAGGCGGTGCTGGATCAGGGGCCAAACTTCTCCTTTTACACCCCCACCATCACCCTAATTAGCATCTCTCTCTGTCTGCAGGTCACAGTTGGGATCCTGCTTATCTTCATAGGTGAGAGAAAAAAAAAAAACGGAGCCCTTCTGGTATGCCAGAGCTGTCTTTGTTGTCTGGAAAGCTTTACATCTCATCACCTTCACTTGCCCTCCATATTTCATCCCCTCCAACATGTCCTTCAGCCACATCAAACCCTACTATTTTCTACCATTTCCCCCCCTTCAGTGCGTCCCCAAGCACCAATGTCAAGTACACTGACTCCTGACAAACAACCTATTACCAGCCAGGCTCTAGCTGTAACTATGGTAACCAGGTCTGACACCAGGTCAGAGTTCAATAGGTTTTAGTGCTGCTGTCAGCACTTGTGGGAGTCAAGCGAGGGAGGTGATTTCAATCCTCGGCTGTGCATGTGTGTGAAGGTGTCAATATGTGTGCACATGCCTATTATGTCTGTACACGTCTTGGGATAAAGTGATGTAAAGTAAATAAGCACATTTACTCACAATATTTGTACTATACTTGAATATATCCATTTTCTGCCTCTTCATACTTGTACTTCACTCCAATTCAGAGCCAAATCTTGTACTTTGTACTCCACCACATTTATTTGACATCAGTTACTGTGCAAGTTTGGTTTAAAAGTACAAAATATAATCAACTCATAAATTATGATGAGGTATTATAGATGAACAAAAACTCTCTTCATCCCAAAAGGAAAGTTAACAAGCTACCCATTAGATTAACTATACAAAGCAATTCAGCTCCTTTAACCAGCTTCAATATTAAAGTGGAGAATACATTATTGCAGCAATAATTGTAATCTAGTAAGATTACATTAATAATTCTAAAAAAATGCCATTCTACATAATGAGTACTTTTATTTTTTGTTTTTAAATTTATGACTTTTACTGGTAACAGAGAATTTCTACACTGAGGTACTTTAAGTGCAATATCTGAGTATTTTCTGTAAAGGTTCCAATCTGTTCACATATCTAGTCATTTTTGAGCATGTCTGCTGTTAACAGTGACGTCTGCGATTGCAAACAGAAGGTAAGGGTGAGATGGTATGAGTTAGAATGAGATGTCCAGTGCAGGTTGGACTGCAGTTCATTTTTCTCTGACAGCCTGAACAGCAGGTTAGTGAACTTTTGCCGGGTCACACTGATTCATCTCAGCTCCAGTTGGATGAGTAAATAAAGGGAGGTTTTTCAGAGGGAGTTATTTTTCAAAAATAGAAACTAACTTCCCTTTTCTAAATCAATGACTGCAATAACTAAAACATAATCAGCTATGAATCCAGTATTTGGGGTGTGCCCAGATGAATGTCTTTTTCAAAACAAAAACCAGAACAAAACCCCCCAAAATAAATTATCAGCTTGTTAATTTAGTCTATGTGAGAAAACAATCATATGAGCTGTTATTAATCATTATTATAATCAGGCATAAATGACTGTAAGATGCTCACAGTGAGCAGTGCATTTTAAAGGATCACGTGTCAGAGAGAAGGCCAGCCAGCATGTGAGTCATCACGCATTCATCGCCCCTTTGACCCCCAGCCATCCACCAAATCTTCGAACTCCAGCGCTCCCCGGCAGCCCCCCTTGTCTCTGCCAGAATATCAAACACATCTCATTCTTCTCACTCTTTTCATTCCTCTTCCTTCATTTTCTTTGATTGTTTTGAACCCCACTGCCCTCTCTGTCCCCTTCCCCTCCCTCTCCTGCGGATCCAGCTCTGTCTAATGCAGCCGGTGGTGCGTGATGTGAGCGGCCTACATACTGCTCCCACAACCCAAAGTCCTGCCTCCACCCGGGCAGATCA